CAAGGTCGAAACAAAAATTCCAGGTATGTAGGGTTCATGGTTGTCGTACGGATTGCGCTTAAGTTGCATTGTCGCGACCGCTGAACTTTGCGCAACTTCGATAGGCACACGATACAACATCGACACGACAGAAACGCTTCCTGCTATCTGTGAATAGAACGCAGAGAATTACGTTCGGTCGCTGGAAGTCAACCGCATAGTGCTCGCATTGCACAGGTATACTGGGTGTATCACGATTTAATCGCTGCATTCGCTGATCCGACTTTGTAACTTTTAACGTGCCGGTTACATAGATTTATCCGCCTGGACAGAAATTTACGAGAAGTTATCCTAGATTATTGCTATTTCTTTTCTTCTTATCAATATTAAAACGAATAATAGATCGAACAAAAAAGATGATTTAAACATCTTTCGTATTAGTTCAATGCCCTTTCAGACTCGATATATCGAAAGTAAGTGCCCGCCGTACTATTATATAAAACCTGTAAAACAGTCTAGCATCGGTAAACTATCTAGCAATTCGCTATCTAGAACTGTAAGAGCTAAGGACTATAATTATAAACTAGTAAACCAGCAATCTCATCAAAATAATATACAAGAAACTTGACTGCACGTCTCGATGAATGAAGTAGAACATATTACAAACTACCGATAATATTTCTACAATTTTTATTAAACAAGTAATCCGATATTCGATCTGGAACACAGATCGCAAACGCTATAATATCGAGTCATCGACAAGACTTAAGCTTCTCGCATGAATAATTCAACTTACGTGTGGTATCGGTTGTTGTATTTCGCGTGATTTGTATTTATTATATTTACTTGATCGGAACACAATTCGAGAAGATGCCAATCGAGGGGCGAAAAAAACTGTGTAAGATACAACTTTAGAAAATTGAAAAACAGTGAGTAATCTTGAGTTCGATGGTCAGTAAAGGACGATATAAAGAGGTCAAGGTTCACGGATGAATAACGAGCAAGGAACGAGTCAGTGGTCGTCGAAGGTGAAATTTGGGATATTTGGGATATTAATGGCGATGAATTTAGAACGTTATGAATGTAGAATGTTAAAGTTAATATTTAAATATGATATAAACAATCCTGGACACAAATTCAACTAAATAAGCATAGTAAAGATCATGTCGATGTACAATATGAATTTTTTACGATCGATGGATTGGTACGCACGCAGCATATCTCTATGTGATTTGCAAACGAATCCGCTGACGTGAATATTTTCACCGCGCGCGGCTTTAATCACGAATTCAAACGGTGTCCGTTGTGGATCGATTCGAATTAGTCAGCGGCGCGACATTTTCCATCATTGTTGTCTACATTATGTCTAGCCATGCCTGTCGATTTTAACGGAGCTTCTTGACGTTCGCTTGTCGTCGTTATCGTCGACTGTTAAGATATAACAAGGTCGACGTTCCACGATCCCCGGGAACGATAACGGTATCGCTGTAGTATCATCCGCTCCATTGGGATCCCGTTATCAGCCGCTAGATCTGATCGTTCGATTCGCTTGATCAAAGTTTGCCAAGGAAACGGAGGAGGTTCGATGTTGGTCGCGCGAACGCCACGCGATAGTGGCCGTGGCTTTCAGCGAAGCTCGTCGCGTTACGTAAAGGTCCGTGACTAGAGGCACGTTGCTCGCGGCTCTTCCACGAATTTTGTGGATCCGAATCATCCAGCCATTCGTGCTCGATTTTAGAAGCCGATCGCTCGATCGTCGCGTCGATCGACCATCGATCGTTGGCGTAACGCGCCGGCTACATGGTTGAGCGACCAAGAAAATACGCAATCTTGTGCAACTCGGTTGCAGTTCTTCGAAAAACGGCTAGCTACCGTTAATCGAGCTCCCTTTGCTTCGACGATCATGCGCTCTTATACAACGCACGGTGCTGATACCGGCCGCGCCGCTCTGCGACTCTTATGTAATCGACCGTTTAATGTTTGAACAAATCGTACGATGTAGATTAAACGTGGCTCATTAGGTGTATTCACCGATGTCTGGCCCGTTCGAAAATAAGCGAATTTGCGGAATCGGTATCGAGTATAGAGGATTAAGGGTGACACCCGAGAATTGAGATTGATTTATTGCCCCCTGATGAACTGCTTCTGCAAGATTCGTGTAATCTCACGATACTCGCACGCTATTGACTGACTAGTATCGATAGTCCGATGAAAATTGCGTTTTCGTTCGCTTTGTAGTAATGCGATAGGTTAAAGTTAAAACGGGTTACGTCGGCTATCGTGATTAATCATTCCGTCGATTCGGTTTCATAATAAATAACCGTTCCTAATTATAGCTTGGTAACGGAAAAATTCTGTCGGTGTTATACGTTTATTATTGGTAAAGTACACTGTTAATAAGTATACTATGTTAGTATGCATCCAATTCTTTGAAAGGCAAATTGTAAGAGCAACGACGTATTGTGTAACGAAGCGATATGACTTTCTTCCTGCGGCTAGATATTATGTGTACCACTTAATTAAGAGAACTCGCGCCTCGACGAAATAGAATGAGATTTAATACACTGAATATCGTTTGTTCGCGAATTTTTATTTAGTTTAAGTAACACTAGTTTCACAATATTGAATTCCATGTTCGAGTTACTCAGCAGGAGAGTTATAAAATACGATATAATGTAATCGTCATTTCATAATTGCTAGGGATACGTTTTACCGTTTATGTAACTGGGATGAGCGTCGAGCAATCAAAAATCTTGCGTAAGTCACCGCTTGTATCCCATTTGGACATTTATTCGGGCCGATGAGTTATCTGGATGCTACGATCGACACGCGTAATTTTCTACGTATTATATACCTGAGAGTTCCCATTTCCGACCGAACTTCTCCATTTTTAAATTTACTCGACTCGCCCGACCTTGAGACGAGGACACCAATGAAAAAATTCGCGATAAAATGTGAGCGAATTTTCGTGTGTGGCTCGATCGAAACGAGAAGGTGAGGAATATTAAAACGCCCACGCTCAAGGAAATGTATAAATTACGCTCGACCAGTTAAAACAAGTTTTTAAGGATTACTTGAACTTTGGAAACGAGCACTTCAACCACAAAATTGTATTATTCATCTTCAACTTATCTTTGCATCTACGACGATCTCGTGTCAATTGTTCCTTCTTGTCCAGCCGAGAATTGGTGAAATTTACGTATACTTGATAAATTTTTTCAAAAACGAAGTCTCTGACGCAGCCATTTTTGTCATTCTCGACTTTCGTCTTATTTCAATCCATAGAATCTCACTGACCCCATTTGGTACCATGAATTACGTTCTGACTACCTCGTATATTATGACGAATATCCAAATACTTTTATGAGCCTACCGTGTCACAGAACATACTCTGTAATCTGCATCAAACACTCAACGATCGAAACACTGCCGAAACATGTTGGCCCACTTTTGAAGCGAAAATTTCAAACTAGTGGAAATCTGACAATTATCCAAACTCCAAATCGTGTGTGTGTCACGAGCAGAGACGGTCGTTCATGCACAGAGTGCAGATGACAAATTTCGGGATCCAGCAGCGGTCACGTAGAAACGATGTGCGAATTTAAAATGCTGTGCGTCTAAAAATAGATTTACGCTGAAAGGAAATGGGATCGGACGAGGGCAGACATAGTGGCTGGCGCATGGAACAATCATTCGAAAGAAGAACAGCCTCCGTGCAAGTTGAAATCCTTTACCGGAAACCAGCCATCACGGTTTAATAAAATACAATGTCCGCGGTGCACGAAACGCGCTGCCAGTGAAGCCGCGCAAGGCGACATTTTAATTAAGGGAAAAGTGCTCTTATTCCCCATTTATTACTCGCTTCGTCACGACGCGATGCGTAAACGGCGTTGCTTTAAGGAAACACGCTACATTTGTGCAGGCATGTTGCTCGGTATTCGCGTTCAAATACGCAAGTATAATATATGCACTCTAGTGCACATATGGTGTTTGCATAATGAACGTTCCCTTACTGTCAGTTAGTAAATTATTGTAGGTAATTTCCTTGGTCTACGGTAGTTTGAAATTTTTATACGGTATTTTTGTGTACATCTCTGTAATTTATAATGTTTGTTGGTACAGTATTTGCAAGTAAGATATGTATGTATAAATCTATTTAAATATATGTATACACATTGCTGAGATAAAAGGCCCGGAAATAGGAGTTCAAGGAGAATCGTGAAACTATGACATTTATTTCGATTTATAAAATATAGTCCTATTAAACTTACTACTGAACATGTTTTGTGGATAATTTAGACGGAAAAATACCTACAATGCGATATATTCAAATTATACATTTTTGGTCGAAAACTTTCGATAGTCTCGTATTTAAGCACGCATTTTTATTTTGTGCGACAGAATCGATATCTCTACGTTATCCTATTTAGTTTTATACACGGTAGATTCTATTTATGGGAACTTGTTGAAGGACAAACAGTACATATAGTTGCAGATCATATAATATGAGATCACTAATTTTCCCCAATGGTGTTCAAATAAATAAATTCCTACTGTAACAGGATTTTCATATAACACAAGTATTAAATTATTAAATAAAGATGATGCATACACATCAAAAGCGAAGATTCGATCAAGTTGTGTTTCCCGAAGTTCGAATAGAAATCGCAAATGATAATTGGAAAATGTTCATTGATCTGAATTTGGAGCAGTCGTTAATGCTATCATGATAGAAATAGTATACCATGGCAAATGTTTCTTTACTTTATGGTTTGCTCCATATTACAGGTTTGTGTTGTAATCGTGGAATCGTGTTCTGATGCTAGAATCTATTGTGGGAAAGATTTCAATTTATATAACGAGCAGATATTGCCGGCAGATAAGCGTGGCTCGTAACATTTCGTCTCCCTGCTGGAAATCTTGTTGGGCGGTGGGTGAACGTTGAAGAAGTTGGAGGCGTTTCAAACGGCCGAAGTCGTAATTTTTGTAAAGCTCGACGTAAAAGATTTCCTTTGATGCGTTTAGCTAAGATAACTTCTAACATCGCTATATTATATAATCTCTTTTAATATTTAGATTTTCAATTACGAATACATTACGCAATAATAATTACTGTGTAACTAATATACGATGCCATTCATCGCATAAGTATTAGTAATATATGTATATGTAATGAAGAACGTATATGTCAAAATGTGCATACAAATTTTCTCAATTTCCGGTGAGACTTGTCTCGCAAATGTCTGGTAAAACTACCTTCACGAATCGTCAAACCGTGTGCTTTTCCTGTCATGATTCTCGATGTAACGCCAGTCGAATTAAATTTACATCGACAGGCCGCGTGGTAACGTTAGTTTTTACGCGGTTGCGGATTTCTTAGCCGATTTCCTCGGTGATAGCGAGACTAGAGAATTGCTCTGTACGCTTAACTCCACCGTGTACCACTGGAGAACGAACAAACCGAACGAACGAACTCGTGCTAAATTGGATCATATTACGTAAGGTTACCCGATTAAAGAACCTCAGGACAAATCCGTGCGTCGACTTTACGAGTTTCAATTACGAACTCCAGTGTAAATGTCGTTCTCCCGTGAGAGGCACGAGAAAAAGAAAAAAAAGAAAATCATGAACCGAAACTGTCAGATTGCACTGTTAAATCTTGCAGACGTTTTAATCGCATATTTTAAATTTTGTCCCATTAGTAGCGTGTCAGCGTCAACGTTGACGTTTACTTCGTTAGTCGCTTCGTTCAGGCCTGTAGCCTGCTATAACTACGTTTATGATTGCCAAATTTCATAATTGGGACCGACCAACGGCAACTTACTGTTGGTAGCTGTATCAATACAAAAGACATTTTATGACACGAATACATTGATAATTAGATTGTATAGATTTCTATACAAATTTGTTATTCTTTTTATGCTCACAATTAAGGAAATAGCACTAGGAAATAGGAATGTGCTTATTAAAAATTATAAGACGTACTCTACCGCGGATATTTTATGCATTCCGTATGCATCCTGTGTTTTGAATACAAATTTACAGTCATGTTACGTCTACCATGAATAGTCTATTCCTAGTCTATTCGTAGTATCCGATTTATTTCCATCTTGAATCGGAGAAACAGCGAGTATTTTTATATCTTGATGCCTAATTTTCCTTTCATAAAACGCAAAGTCTTCGATTTCCATTCATTCGGAGAACCCATTGACCTATCCGACTACGGATTCGAATTCAATTCACGTCATTCGCGCACAATTATGATATAAAACACCGATCATCCACGTTCTGCAGTTTAACGTTCGTGTAAATGTTCTAAATGCGCTTTCTTTTTCTTCCATGCGGATTACCACATCATATTCTTGCGAGTAACAGCAGCGACAGCGACTCGCAATTTTCTTGCGCATTACGTGCTGGCTGCATACCACGCCGGTCTCCCGAATGTAAAGTGTCGTAACTAAAGTCTTTCACCAGCGAGGGAATTAATTTCTTAAGGGGAGCCGTAACTTTTCTATTGTATTAATACTCGAATTTATCATCGCTGGGTGGCTGTGAAAATCGAATTACATCGTTCAGTCGTGGCTGCACGTTACGCAAGTGACAGATATTTTCAGATTATAATACTCGAATACCGATATCAATCAGAATAATTCGAGACAATCTATAAATACACGTAGACTTCAGAACGTGACGCGATGAAAACGATCGCGACGAGTATATTTTTATGTCGTCGTCGTATTCCCCCGTTCGGATCTTACGAACTCGTTCTACAGAATTTTCATCGTATTTCTATCAACACGGAATTACTTCGGATCTGGTTCTCTTCGGTGGAAAAGCAGAGCAATCGTGGTCAGATTATCGAATTAATTAGTTTCGTTAATGCGTCTGGTTTTAATTTTTTCGCCGTGTGTAATTATCCGATATGATTCGAGATTGTATATTTTAGCCTTCCAACGAGAAAGGGTTAACGAACTGCTCCTCGTTAGCGAACGAGCGGACATGTTTCGATAGTAACGTTGAAATATCAATTCGATCGAAATTACAATATTGGATGAATTTGTTAGCTGTACATTTATGCAGTGCAATAAAATCACATTGAGATTATCGATAGTGTTGATAAATAATTAGTAATTAATAGATTTTCTGTGGCAAAATTTGATACCACACACAAAATGATAGTAACAACTTCTTCAAGAATTAATTCAATTCGTTTGAAAAATAATATTTTTCTTATGGTTTAACGAGTAGTCGGTAAATAAACAAAATATATATGGACGATCATGTTCTCAACTTATTTTAAAGAAATCAATTTCACTCGGTTTAAGTTTCAGACATTTTTCACAATCTACCAAATACTGGAACATCTTTAGTGACACGAAGACGTTGCGTAGAATTAAAATAGATATCCATTCGGCCAAACAAAGACGCTATCATTGCTACGTCTGGAGATAGGCGTGTGCACGCGAGCAGAAAGGAAAGAAGAAATCGAGTAGATGCGCATTTTGCAGGCTGCACCGCAAGTGCATCCTGGTGGTTCGATCGTATGACTCTGACCTTGTCTGGATGTTCACCCCACACGTTTGGTTCGTTCGTTCGTTCGTTCGCTCGATCCTGGTCGAGTCGACTTTGGGGCCAAGATAGAGCCGGCTCTCGCTTATGTAATTCGAAACGGGTCACGGCCAGGCACTCGAAAAACCCGCCTTTCTCCGTCGACATTTGAATCGGACGCATTGCAGAACGCTGAATATTAGCGTTTCTACTAGAAACTTTCGCGATGATGTACCGTATCGCGATATTAATCGTTAGATTATCGTATACATCGAATATGAAAGATCAAAGATCGATGAACATTTTATTCGAAAGCGAAAAATAATGTGCGAAGTGGGTGATATTTTAAGGAACGATGAAAATAATTGTTAAATGATCGCGTAAGTAACACGAGTATTTTATCCAAGTGAAGGAAGTTAATAAAAAAAAAAAAAAAAAAAATGGAATAAAATTCATACGTTAAGAGATAATATCGTTCGAACTGTTTCAAATAATTACACGCTTCTTTCCACGCTGTAATACAAGCGTCGAAGTAAATTAAAAATCTAACATTTATTAAATTTATAAAATTTATTTAAAATGTAAAATCGCGTAGAACGAACACGGCATCGTAATCTGATGTAAGCAAATAACTACAATACGTAAGAAAAATTTCAGTTGAGTTACGAAACTTTTAACCATTATCATCGGCAAAAATCTAATTTTCTTTACACAACTTCTCTTACCAAACTATCGCACATGCGACAAAAAAGCTTGAAATTAGCATCAAGCATGAGAAAAGAGAAAATTAATGCAGTAAATTCAAAGCAATTCCCTCGAAGTCGATTATGAACTTCCTTCGTGCCAATGTCATACTGTCGGATTAATTTCACGAAACCTTAATCAAAATTTATCGTTCTTCGACAAAATCGATTTTGTTCTGCTTATCTTAGCAACGCGTACAACATTCAAAACACTGTGTCTACTCTATAAACAGTCTATTTAGCCAACTCGTCCAAGGATACGGCTCCACGTTGTTCTACCGATATGATATGTCACGGTGCTGTTCAACCGCCAGCGACGGGAAATTGCGTTTGTCGACGTCGGCAGTCGTTGCGTTAATTCCCCCGCATTGCAGAATCCTTAACGCAACCAGTCGTTTGGCAAGAACGTGTCGGCTGAAAATTAACATTGTGTTACCCGCAATGAGGCATATCGATCGGTGGATACCACGAAACGATCACGATCGTCTTAACACGGAGGCAAGCAGCAACGCAGGAACTGGTTTTACGTTTGCAGGATATTATCTGATAAGTGGAAGACAGTAACACACTGGTGAACCTGAGGAACCCTAGATAAGCCCTCTATTTTTAGGCTTGCGAATTCCGGTTGCGTTATGTAAAGCGTACTTTCTTTTCTTAAAATCTTTAACAAGAGACTACTTGTTATACTTTTTACCTATACTAAGTTTCGGTTGTAAATTTTGAAACGTCGTTGTTTATACCCTGTACTAGATTTCTTCTTTTCATTTATAGTATCGTAATCGTTGTTCAGACATTAATTTTGAAATTTCTTTTGCGATATATCTTCTGCTATACGATATTACTGTTACTAACGATGACATATCGACGTAAAGTCAAATCTCTGTTAATGTTTCTTCAAAATTAAAACGATTTTCAAAATTAAATAATTTTGTGCTCCGTTCATTTTCGATCCAATTCGGGTGTTTCTTTTTCCTCTTTCAACTTTCTAATCTTTAGGAAAATAAAAGGAAATCGTTCGTAGGTCTAAAGAAACGAGATTGCCGTTAGATAAGTACGCCCGTAACACGACCTAATAGATTTTCGAGTATGGAATAAATTAGCGTTTCCCCGAAGAAAACCTATACTCACTCCTTGACCCGAGCTCGGCCATGAAAGTGGCGCTATCATCGTGGTGGTAGCGCGTTCTCTGTTAGCAGTGTTCCTCGAACAACGGAACTGATTATCCACGTGCATCAAAGCGAGTCGACGATGGTGCCACGCACGATGTTACAGCGAAGGAGCAAATCTTCCTCTGAAAAGAAAAGAGATAAAAGCGGTAGGTAAATTGGAGAGCGTCTGGAACCACGCACGGAGCCACGGTGAGGATGATTTTTTAGAACGAAGGGATCGTAAAACGCCGGTTTTACGCTTACGAAATAATTTATGTAATCCAAAGCTGGGGGTCGCGGTAAAATTAGACAACCCCGTGTATGATCATGGCCGGCAACACGGCCACCGTCATCTCTGTATTTACGAACGCATCGTTGCCCTACGAACGGATACAACAAGTAACGTTTTACGATCGAGTTTTGTGGAACAGCGAAACAGACGTGCCGTTTGACACGAGAATAAAAGAAAGAAATTTTCGTGCGGCGTAAAAAAGAGAAATTATGAAACTATGAAAGACGAGGTTCGTAGTTTGAAACGAAATTAAGGACAGATCGACTGTATGACACGAGAACAGCAGATTTATTAGCTTTTAATCAATACGTAGGTAGTTAATGAATTTAGATGTATGCATATAATGATTCGCTAGAAATAGATCTTTTTCTCGATACATTGATTTAAGCTTTGTTCGCATTATGGCTTCTTCGATCGAATCAAATTAATTTCTGTTGCAACAGTTTCCTTTTAACGTTAACCAAACGGATGGTATAACTCATTTTTATAACATATTTTATGCTAATCAAAACCGGAACGAAGTTTACAACATATAATAAATAACGACAAGTAATGAATCATATGTGCAATTATCCAAGCAGATATTGCATCATAAAAATAGATATTATTACAAGGTAGCGGACATAAAAATTTTATAGTTTCTTTTCAAACGACAATACGACGCTGCATTTCAACATTGTATTTCGCTTGTGCAACGCCAATTCCTAACGCTAAACAATCGAATTATATCACCCACATATTCAATGCGACGAAACGAGCAACACGCAACAAATACACGTACTAAACCAATTTTCTACAAAATTTGCCACTCATCTCCGTGTCAGAGATTAGATAATTGCCTCGGCCGAAGAAACAATCGTATCTTTGCAATAATCTCGATGATAACTGCTTGCGGCGAAACCGCAATTATTCCGTGGCGCTAAACACGGCATGGAACCGATCGCCAAATGCCTCGAGTACCTACGACGATCCGTTGCAAGCCATTTAGGGCGCAAAGTCGATTGCAAAGTAGATTTTCTCGCGGACGTGTCCCTCTTTTGCAATTGGGTGGCGTTCGGCGCGAAACAATAGACGACGATCGCCATCGCTTGATATTTTCAGAAAAAGGATCGTGGGCAGATGATCGTGAAGCCCGTTTCTTGCGTCACGACTCTGTTTGTACAATTTTAACGACATCGTCGATAAAACGCCTTGTTACGAAACTATCCAACAACGAATACGAGATATTTCGAATTTTCTCCTCGAATTATAATATTTCATATTAATTGAATTATAATATTACGTTAATTATCTAACGTATCGAATATGGTAGAAGTTCGTTATTTTAGCTCATCAAGGGATATACAGTTTACATAATTGGAATTCCCTGATTCTTCCTGCTACTTACTGATTTTTCTCTTTAAATATCAAAAGTTCGCGCTGGAATAAATGAATTCGTCTCACAAAAACGTCTTAACTGGAATCTCGTTCTAAATAAACGGAGCTATATCGTAGCTTTCTTTTTCCTTAAACAAAGGATCGAAGAATTAATCTACAGACCGTTTCAATTCGAATCTGCGCTTCGTTCGTGATTCCACCACAACGAAGATCCTGATACCGAATCTCAGTCAACAACGTGGTGGCTTTTACCTTAGACCCTAAGAATACTCCACTCCAGAAGAATATTACAACGCCTCGAATTTCATAACGACTCCCCAACGGTTCCAGCAGCCGTGGCAGAATCCGTTGCACGTAACCTTTCATGCGCGTTTCTATTGTCGGCTGTTCGAGGCTCGATGGTGACGAAATCGGCGTGCATTATGCCGACCTGCGAGCGGTTAACCGCGAGTAGGT